TCAAGATTGAAATCTTTGAATAACCAAGCTGAATAAGATGAGAGGCAATAACTCAAAACTATATATTCAAGGATTTTCCTGCAGTTATTTTGTGTAAACTCTTGGAGGTATGGAAGTTTAGGAATGACAATATTAAATGAAGAACGTTCCATTGCACTGAAATATCTTTTACAATGTGTATATATAATGTAGAATACGAGAAGATAAAATGTTTTATAATGTATGAGCATCTCCAAAATAAAACTGCAAGTCTTGGCGTCATCTTTCCATCCAAGTCAAACTCTCTTCTTCATTGAGTAACAGTGTAATGAAACTAAATGTGAATTGGAATTTGTATTTTGTCATCTAAGTGAAGTGTACAGTAATGTGCTTCCTGTACTGCAACAAAACCTAAAAAGTAATAAATATGCAAAAATGCATCTAAAATGTAAATGAGCTATTCAGATTTAAGTACAGAGGCTGAGTTTGTGTTTTCATTTTCACATTTTTTCAGTATATTTTTAGCTAATATGAACATGAAAATGCCAACAGTTCATTTCAGTTTCATTTTAGTTTCATTTAAAACATGTCAGAGTTGTGCTCTGGAGTAATTAAACACCCATAGTTTTAATTTAATTTTGATTTTGACACTTGATTGATTTAATCTGTGATTTAAACTGTGATTTAATCATGAAAATAAAAACTGGATTGTTTTATTTATGTCATATATCATGCATCAACAAATGGGAAATTAACTTTCAAATGCACTGATTTATCCTCATATAGACTTGTCATTCCTAGATGCCCAAAGCATCTTCCAAAGAACAGAGTACTTTGTATATAAACACTCCACAGTGTTTCACCATCTGCAGTTTATTTCCACACAAAGAAATGTTTAACCTATCAGTTGGTTCTCGCTCAGTCTGCATTTGTGTCTTCTTAAAGCTCAGGAGAGAAAGCATACCATCAGAGCACTTATACTATTTATTCTTATCATCCTGAAACAATACAATTGCTGTTTTTGGGTCCTGATGGGGCTGGATATTTGTTGCAACTTAAACCCAAAATGCGAAAACATGGGTCATTTATCAAAGTACAGTAATTGTGTTCAGTTCAGAATCCAAAGTCTGTTCTGTTCCCACACTGCTATTTTTGGTTGCGATTTGGAAGCAGACTGTCCCAGAACATCACGTTTTGACTTCAGTCTTGGGGATTTCGAGCTTCCCCATGCAGCTAATTACAGTCATGGCTGTGCTCTTATGGTCCATGTCTATGAAGAACAGATGGACAGTGGGTCTGACAGTCTGAGTCGGTGATGTGTTACCGCGCCAGCCAGAAAGCTGGTCAGGGAGCGTGTCCCAGAAGTCAGAAATGATGAAGAGTTAGTATCACTTTAAAATCAGGAGGGTGGCTGAACGGATCATAAACTGGGTTTGGCCTGCAGACAGCAGCATACAATACAACTGCATAGTGATGACAGATGGTCGGTGAGGAAGCTGGGATGTCTGCAGTACCAGGCTGTGAAGTGGCAACTGCCCAGAGTGTGTGTTTCTCCAGCTTCTAGCATTGAAAATGCTTTAATGTGAAATTCATACAATAGTTTACCATGACTGTGTGTTTGTGTGGTTAGTAAGGTATTCAAAGTTTACAGCTTCACAGAATTAAGTGGAGTTGTGCCAAACGTCTTGTAGGCACCTGCATTAGACCTAAAATCAAATACAGGTAATAATGATGTACATTCACATTACATTCACATTTCCCAGGTTATCGTATTATTGATAAGAAAGTAGAAAACACTCAAATGAACCTTTCAGCTGAGGCTGCCCACAGATAGACAAATGCTTCCATCTAGTGGAAAGGTAGAGCTATTACAAATATTATTACAGATTTTAGGAGCTAGGTTGCAATTTGTCAAGGCATATTCTTTTATTCTACATGGTGCATTATATGATTTTATCAAATTTTGAGGCCAAAATAACTTGACTTTTAGTCCCTAGAGCATATCCACAAAAACACTGGATCCTACATGTCCCATAAAGCAAGTTGATATCATCCTACACTGTTCCATTCCTGCCTGATGTTCACCCACATCTTGCAAACTCTGCATCCCCAGTTTGCAACACAGGATTTCTGAAATCTCAAGATGAAACTGAGATACCCCTGATGACATCATCAGGGTTTATTTTTCTCAGACTTGACAAGCTCTCTCCAGAGCCACAGAAGACATTATACAACTATTTTCACAGGCTGCATAAGGTTCCTCATGATCAGTATATTGAACATCATGTGTAAAATTGGTGGATTGCCCCTCTAATATGAAATATAGATGAAAACTGAAACCAGCCCTTGTGCTTAGCATATCACATCATACGTTTCTGTTTTATTAATATGTTGTTGTAATTGTCTCTTATGTCTCCAAAGTGACCTTTTGCGGTTACCTTTGTTATTCTGTGATTTTGTAGCCACAGAGTTTTTGCATAATATTCTACATGAGGCATTTTGACTTGTCACGGCAGGAAAAAACACAGGTGTAACTAATAACACTGATGACAGCTCTGTTCTGTTAGAGCCAGCGTGCACACAGAGGCCTGCCACTGCCACAGAGTGGAATGCAGCCCTAATCAACATTATTAGTAACACCTGTGTGTGACACAGTAAAGCGTCTGCCATGAGAACGGTTTGGACTAACTTGTTCCCTCTCTCTCTGGAAGAAGTGTTTGTATCCTTTACTGAAGTAAGAGAACCAATATCACTATGTACAAATACATCAAAGTCCTTCTTTTCAATGTTATCTGAATAAAAGAAGAGCAGGAAATTATTTTCAACAAAAAGTACTTGAAGTATCAAAAGTGGTAAAAGCAGTAAGTAGTGAAGGTTAGTGATATATAATTATATGTTTTATAAAACTAATGAACAATTTTTCTTTTTTTTTGATGAACGATTGAATGATTGGTCAAGATGGAGCTAATTTTAAGTACTCGGCATTGGGTCATTGAACCTTCAGCCATGTATGATATTTCATAAGATGATCATAAGTTTGGATGTACAATATGAACTATAGTAGTCACAAAAAGACAATATTTCCCTGTACAACGTAGTGGAGTGAATGAAAAAAGTGGCATAAAGTGGAAATATTTCAACTGAATACCTCAAATCTTATAAAGGATGCTACTTGAGTAAAGAGTTACACCACACCACTGTTCGATGTTTCCTACACAGGAACACTCAGCAGTTTAGTCCCTGATGAGCAGTAAATTTAGATTTCAGACACTTAAATCATCATCATTTTGGGTCATCAGTGACAGTACTGTGGGATTTAAAAAAGGAAAAAAGAAAAACTTGTTCCATTTTCAGGAATTTTTGATATTGGTATGTTGAGAAAAATACAGCCATTGCTTTCTTGCTTGTGTGTGTTGTTTTTTCCATGTCATTACTGACTCTTTTACCTTGTACACTTTGTCTGGAAGATTTGAAAGACAATGTGGACAGTCCACATGTTGTGCCACAGAGTGATAAGCAGGGTCACTGAGTGCAAAAGGTGCAGCAGGATATAAGAGTCAGAAATATGTGGACGATGTCTTTTTCTGTTGTGTAACAGTCGGTCCGCAGGCATATCCTGTCTTAAATTTTTCCTCCCTTCAGCGCTGCCAACTTGATTTTGTTTGTGAACAAGTTCAAATGCAACATCAGACACATCAAGCCCCAGTGACTGACTGATTATTACTAACTAGGTGATCGTCCATTGTCAAAAGGACACACCCTATGCTAACACAGAGCTCTAGCCATCTCTGAGTCACTCACTAAGCGCACCATTTTAAGAAAGTAAATTATTTGAGGCCACAGCTCTCTTGCCAGCTGTAACACAGTCTGCATTCCTCTGCAGCAGCATGACTGCCACATCTCTCTGAGTCTGACTGCCACAGAAACACATCCTGAGGGTGAGGGACAGATGCATGGAAATAACATCTAGAAAACATAACCATGTGCTGTGCTCACGTGTTGGAATCAGGTTATGTGCCCAAATGGAATTAATTGTTGTTAATAGTGTTAAAACAAATAAAAATTTATTTTACATGGTTGCACTTCTGGTTACTGTTCCTCAGGCTTGTGGAGAAGGTGCATGGTGCCAAGCAGTGAACAAAGTTTTTCTTTGTGGTTTTCTGCATATGTTTTATGCCTAGCGCTTGGGGTGCGTGTTTTGTATAATTAGAAACAATAACTTAAAGGGGTTTCATGTTGATGGAGTGTGAACTTTCCATAGTTGTCCTACTGGAGAACACCACCCGATGGTCATCCTGGCACCAGCGCACATGCTCCAACCCGCTGAGGGAACATGCTGTTGGTAAAAACAGAACTAACTTTGACCTCAGAGGTAAATAAACACAGCTCCCATAGGATGAATAAACATGTTCTCTCTCACTTTCAATTCTTCAACCCACAAAAACAAGCCAAGACAAATCAGGCTTTGTACTACAAGATTATTTTAAAAGTCAGCAACAACAGATGTGTTCAACAGACAGAAAATGTTTCACATGACAAGCTGCTGGCTGAACAGACTGTAAATAACAGTGACAGATTGCTAAACTGAGGCTGAGAATAACATGCTGTACATGATTACATGGTTTGCTGGTTGCAATTGAACTATGGTATACAACCTTTCAAATTTAAAATGACTATGACTGGATACACTGATGAGAATTAAAATCAGCAGTGGATTTGAGGTCTTGATGAAAGCTTACATGCATTAATGTTATTAAGTAAATAAAGATAAATGAAAAAGTAAAAATGCTGCTGCTAGTGATGAAGACGATGCTTATAAAACAGACAACGAGGTGTCATCAGCATAAAGGCAGTAAAAGGCACAGGCAGACGACTATTGAAATGAAACCTGATGACAAGCAGCTGAAAGAATGAAAAGGCTTTCAGGCGGGTGTATGAGGGAGAGAGAGAGAGAGAGAGCAAGCAAGATCAGATGTTGATGGGAGGGGGGGGGAGAGAACACAGTCCCGAGGACAGACGGAGTCAGAGAACACGAATGATGAAGAGGGCGTATGGTACGATGTTATGTGGGGCTGCAGATGCACAGTAAAGAGAGGTGGAGAAATGCAAAAGAAGGGCACAGTGGGTGCAAAGAGGCAGAGACACAATAGTAGGTGAGCTTGAGCAGACCTCTGTCCAGCCACTGTTACGAGACACTTGACACATTGTACAAGTGACATGGCCACCATGCTACCCTGGAGGATGATCGCTGTTGGTCTTTTTTACTGCTATATCAAAGCAGGTGTCACACAATGTCGGACTAAAGGTAAGACTTTTATTAAATCCTGAATGGCAATAAGTTCATTTTCTGTATGTGGCGGGTTTATATTGTAATTTTTTCACATAGCAAGCAGCATATTTCGCAGCAGTGGTTGATGGTGAATTAGTCCCAACAATGGGTTAACTGTTTTTGTTTTGTTTTTATTATGCGTCTGGGCTGCCGGAGAATTTTGACAATTGTTGATTCTGTGTTAGATCTTTCAATAAACACAATTCGATTCAATCCAGATTCAAAATCCTAGCTTTTTATGGAACAGTGATTAAATTAATCTTGGCTGAACATTGAGTGTTCCTTGGTTTAGCTGCACTGTAATATTAAACCACGGAGAGAGTGACCCTCATCTTTTAATTTCTTTCCAAACCTGAGTGTTTTCACTGAAAACAGCTTAAAAAATATTGTGGTAATCATAGCTTTGCCAATAGAATGAATCATTATGTATATTGGACATGAATAGCTACATACTTATCTTTTTTCTTGTTGTTACAAGGCAGAGCAGAAGAATTCCTGCACCATTAACACTGTTCTGTCTGGAGGAGCACCCTTCAAAACAAAATAAGGAGTGCAATAACACCATATTACATACACAGCTTTAACAGAACACAGCACAGTACCAAAAATACAATAGAAGATTATCACATTTATGTATTTATAGATTAAATATCAATTCCAAATAATAGCACATTTCACTTTTGTAGGTTCTGCTGTGGGTTCAGAGGTCATCTGCACATGTTTCTCATGAGAGACGATGGCAGGGGTCCAAAACTGATCTGAGAGAGGAAATGAATGAATGAAGAGTGAATGAAAAGCATACCGCTGAGGTATTCAGACCAGCTCTGCTCATGGAATCCCTTTTGTCTGAGTGTTTCTGGTTCCATCACTCGATCAAAAAGACACTACAGACAGAAACAGAACTTAAACTGCAGTGATAAACTGCAGAACCACAACTGCGATGGTTAAAATCTCTGGTTTGGGTTATGGGCACGCTCCACTGACAGGAAGTTCCAAGTCATGAAATGAAAGCAGCAGTAAGGAACACTTCATCATAAAAAGCTGGACTCATTAGAAGTACATATTTGGCCTCTGCCATGCCTTTGATACAAAGTTCAGCTGCTAAACATATTCTGTGTGCAGTTTGCTGATGTGATGTTGCGTGATCTCTGAGTGTGTCAAATTTCCAGCTGGAGCGGCCAAGCAAGTGAAGCTGCCCGGCACAGTTTGAAAAGCACAGAAAGCCCGTGATCTTCGTTAGCATTTTTCCTTTTGGAAATACCACTTACATCAGCAGTTTGTTGGCCATCAGTATCAGTAAATACTACCATGTGATTTCAGCCTAGCTCAAACTATTTGCTCGCAAACAAAACAAAACAAAACAAAAGGTGCATTTCAGTTGACACAACTGGATTCTTTGGGAGGATAAGCAAAAATGAGGAAGTGGTTATTTAGTGGTTAATAATACATAAGTACTACTCCAGACTGGATGTCAGACAAAACTGCTCAGGTTAAATGAGTTTGATTGCAATGCTGCAGGTTCATGTGACAACATCAGACATCAAAGTGCATTTCCAGTCAGTATCAGTATCAGTCTCTACCTCAATATCTGCATAACAAGGGGGGGGGGGGGGGGGGGGGGGGCTCTCTGGTCTTCGTGCATCTATGTCTGCATGATGTCCTTTTTTCTTCATGGTTTCCCTTCATCTGTTCTCCTTTTGAACTACTCGACATTGCTACCTGCAGCTTATCCTTTAAACCATATGCAAAGCAAACTGCCTGAGCCCTACATTTTACTCCCATTAATAAAACCAGCCAGCAAAGAATGTTGGACATAATGGACAGTGCTTTAAATCAATTCTTGGCACGAATTTCTTTCTCTCTTGACCTTTTAGCCATGCTAGCACTATGGCTCTAGGGATGGCAATGTTGCAACGGCAGTACGTTGGATGGTAGGTCCACCCCTTAGGCCAAAACTGAAATACAGTACCAGTGAAAAGCTTGGACACAATTTATGAGACAGTGTATACCAGCTTTTGACTGGTAGTGTATATCTAAACAACTATTGAATCAATGGCTATTCATGTTCCCCAGAGGAACAACCCCACTGACTGGCGATCCCTTACCTCTAGCACCCCCATGTGGTTTTGTGCAAAATGTCTTGACCACTATTGAATAGATTGCCATGACATTTGGTACACACATTCATGTCTCCCTCAATATGAATTCTAATAACTTTGGTAATCCCTTCATTTCTGAACATAAGCTATGTTCCCAAATCAGTCAAGTCAAGTATACTTCACTGTTTTATCCTAACAGAAAAGCAATCATATTGTCCATGAATTCTTGACATTATGAATAGGTTATAAGCTGACACCATGCTCAAGTACAGGGAAGGGCTTTAGTCTGTGACCTTTCTTTGACTGCACAAGAGCTATTGCAGCTAACACACTGTTCTAAACTGTGATTTTGAGGAATTCCGTTAAAATGAGGCTGAAATGCTAAACCCACACACTGCATGTTGAAATCATCTGGAGCCGTGTGTTACTCCGCCTTTGATTCCTCTGCAGCCTTTGAAGTTGGAGGTCATGTCTCATCGCCTGCAGATAGAAGTCATCTGTAAGGTCAGAGATCGCAGGGTTTGAAGCGCAGTGTGTATATCATAGATTAACTGCTGTATATGTTGGTATGGGACCAATGGGTGTCATATGTGCTAGAACGTCAGCACCCCGGTGAAATCTGCATTTCGTGGTACCTAACAGTTTTGAGTTTGTTTGCTTGACACAGATATAACTTCAAGAGGCCTTTAAGGTACCACCGCACGCAGTAAATCACAAGACAAAAAAAACAAACAAAAAAAAACATTCTCATAATCTGTGTCTCTTTACCTACTAGCCCTGTTCCCAGCTGCAAGCAGAATAAAAAGAGGGGTAGCACATGGGGTGAACCCTTCTTTCCACAACTCCTTTGATGATGTTCATCTACTATTTGAGGTGAGACAAATCTATCAATAAATACAGACAGGTTTTTTTTTTTATTTTAAGTGTGAAACCAACAAAACATCAAGGATGAACTATCACTGATACAAATTTCCTCTCTGTTTTACCAAACAGATCCTACTGGCGGGCGTACACTTTGATGCCAACGGAGAGTTTTCAGTGAAAGATGCCGAGCTGGCTTCCCTCCGCAAGACACGAAACCTGGAGGTCATCTGTGAGGAGACTGTTCCCCGGAAGCTAACAGACATTTTCAGGCTCATCTCTGGCCTTTCAAATCGTATCGGTCGGCTGCATCAGGAGGATTTCGAGCGCACTTTGCTGACCTTGGTATACATTGCCCAGCAGATGGTCAACGCCACTACTGAGCATCAACGAGATGTATGGGCGGAGTCTTTTGTTAGCTTGTACAAAGCCGTCAAGCAGGATCTGACAGGGACAAACTGAACGGACACAGGTACTGGTACACAGATTAATAGTTTATAATGCATATAAGAAAAAATATCCATTGAGATCAGTGGATAGTCCTGGTTTGTGCTTTGAAGAAATATCATCTTTTGTACGATGACGGCTACGTATAGGGAGCCTGAGAGAAAAGTCCTGTCAGAAAATGTCGCCACAAATTGGTAAAGTGCATGGACTGGTAATGAAATGATATTTAAAATATTGATTGTCACAGCAAAAGTTGATTCAAACATGAGGTACTGTATAAACATGAAATATGCAATGGATCTATAGGTTGAATGTGGTATTGAACATCATGGATTTACTTACATTCACGTCTTTTCAGTGTTTGTTCCCTAGCACCTGGGTGTGATCACACTCAAAGACTGATAACAGAGAAACCTAAGAAAACACTGTTTAAAGTCAACAGTGTTATGCCTGGTGAATACAAATTACTGCAGAGAAAAAATGTTTTTAAAATTTCTCTCTCTCTCTCACACACACACACACACACAAACACACACACACACACACACACACACACACACACACACGGCTTTAATGTTGTGGCTGGTCAGTGTATGAATGTCAGCTTGCGTTGATCAACAGTTAACAAAAACCCTATGAAAACTAGGAAGTCCATATATTAGTCATTCTTATGCAAGATGTCATCTGCAAATGTCACTCCTAAAAGGTCATGTGAAATCCTTTGCACCATGTTGTTACAGTACAGTGTCTTGAACAGAGGACACAAGGTCCAAACTGAGCTGCCTCTGATGGTATTGTCTTTGGACAATCCCCGAAATGGCACGCTGAAGCAAGTAAACAACTTACAGAGCGACTCCGACAATGATCTGTGCAGGCTCCGGGTGTCCCAGTGGCTGCTTAGGCTCCAGGGATTTTGCATCTACTCCGCATCCATCCAGAGAGTTGGGCGTGCCAGGAGGGCAGAACGGTATGTACCGGATCCAGGAAGAGGAAGACAAGTAAGAGCTGATGCCAAAGGGAAGGTCATAGACTTCTCCACTCTCCAGTGTGTTGCTGGAGTCGTCCTCGTGAGCCTTGTTCCAGGCGAGGATGCCTCGCTCATGCTTTGATCCTGTTGAACGCATGTTAAATGTGTTAAACCATGTTAGCACAGCTTACTGAAAGGAATGAGATCACTGACTCTGTTTTCAAGTTATTTTCTGACTTGCTTGTTTGTTTTTCATAAAGCCTGGGACTGATGTATGAAGTGTTTCTTTCCAACCGCACAATATTCTCTTCTTAAAAACTGTCATTTCAAAACTGTTTTGGAACTAAAGCTGAACATCCAGTGGAAATTCAGTTTCATGTTCTCTACCTAGCTGGATTTTACACTACTTAGCAATGGTGAAAAGTAAGTATGTTTACTCCAGTTCTGCACTTAAGTGCAGTTTTGAGGTACATGTACTTGAGTAGTTAATTTATCTGCTACTTTATACTTTTACTCCACTACATTCATTTGATAAATCTAGTTACGAGTTACTTTCCACATTTACATTAATAATACAAAACATAATAATTAAGTTGTTCTGTGTTATTACAGGTTAAGATAAGACTTTATTGACCCCCAAGGGGAGGGGTCATAAGCTACTTTGCAGTATATACAACAAAGTGATTAAAACAAGCCCCACCTTTACCAGCTGCAACATTAAGCAATGTACACATTAATGAACAAATAATTATAATACAAAAATATAATATATAATATGAAATTCATTCTGCTTAATGAGTACTTTTACACTGACCCCATTTCAATGGCCAATTTCTTCCTACTCCTTTCTTAATCAAACCAACACAAAATATCTAACCATGGCCCCTGACACTCAGCAGTCACTTGATAGAAGATGACCATCAACAATGAAATAAGGGGTGACCCTATAGTGTTTTGCCTTGTAAAATCACGGTTTTGACTCCGCCATTGGCATTTAAAGTACTACATTTACATGCAATCACAGACTCAGTGTATTGTAACATACATATAACAATTAAATCAATACACTTATAATTCAATGAAAATAGAAGGATACCTGGAATGGTGTTGTCAAGTAAGAAGCCGAAGAAGCCTCCTACAAACATACTGGTTGTCAGAAGTACCTGCAGCACCTGGTCAAGTTCTACTACACCTGAACACAATGCAACACAAACAGTTAAACCCTGCTCCAATAGTCAAGTAACAGTATAGTGCTTCTTCTGAAAATACAGATTATACAATGAAACTTTATCCGTGTACCTGTGGCAATAGCTTTGGGGTTCTTTAATATCCAGTTAGGAATGACCAGACCAGAGAACATGGAGAAGCCAAAAATAAAGATGTTTCGAGACGAATTCATATCTGCGTACTGGAAGAAAAGTCAGAAAACACATGGGAAAGCTTTAGTACTATTTTCATGCAATATTTGTTTTTATCTATTTTGCTAAAATGTGTGAGATTTTGTTGTGTGTACCTGCAGATTAGAAACCCCCGCTGCAGAGATGACACCAAACATAACCATGAACATCCCTCCTATCACAGGTGATGGGATAGTGGTGAATATAGCGCCCACTTTACCAAACACACCCATGACAACCATCAACACTCCACTGGCTACTATCACCATGCGACTGCCAACCTGCAAGAGGAAGCGATTTACCTCTTCTTAAAACTGTCTGCTTTTAAAAGGCAACAGTAAAACTATCATATTTTTGCTCATGGATAAATATAAAATCAGTATAGGCCCTACACAGAGAAATTTTATCTACAAAGTTGCTATAGTAACTAACTTCCAGCTGACACAAAGGTTCATCTTACCTTTGTGATTCCAAGAGCGCCAACGTTCTCGCTGTATGAGGTGGTACCATTGCCTGTACCCCAGGCTCCAGCCAGCAGACAGCCTATTCCCTCAATACCAATACCCCTGTTGATGGCATGTTTAGGGGGAGGTGGAGCTCCAGACAGCCTGGCACAAGCATGGTAGTCCCCTACAGACTCTATCATGGAAGAAATCACACCAGCGAGGATGCCAACCACTCCTGCCAGGCTCACAGTCGGTATCCCCCACTGACCTGTTTGAATTCAAACAGTATACTTATAGACTATAATACTTTTTTTCTTTATGTTTTTTTTATTATTATTACTGAAAGGTCATTTCAGGCGACAGTCTCGCAGGCTCTACCTGGGTATGGGAAACTGAACCAGGGAGCTTGGCTCATAACATCTCCCTTTAGATCAGTTCGTGCCAGATAACCATACTGGTCTGGTTCAGCAGGTAGCACATTGTAGGTTGTCAAAATGTAACAGATGAGCCAAGATAAAGTGATTCCAAGCAAAACCTGAGGACACATAGAAAAAACAAATCATTTTTATCATCTACTCAAGAGGTAAAAAGACTAAATGCAAAATGAATTTCGTAATTCTTAATGTTTTATACATACAGGGAGAATCTGAAATACATATACACGGGAGGTGTGCAGTTTTTTGTCCTTGCTGTACGTAGGAAAGGGCACAGGTATGTGACGGAGGTACTGTGAGAACAGGATAATCAGTGCAGTGGTCCTGTGTGAGAGAGAGAGGAGTATTAAATGTACTTTAAGTAGGACTGCACTAATATGTAGCTGAAGCTGTAGTAGAGCAACTCAGGTTCTTTGGCAAGAACTTTTAATAGGCTTTCCTGCCCTGCCAGGAGATTAAAGCTTTACACAGATTTTAAGTCTATTAGTATTTTTAAAACCTTGGCTGTACTCTAGGCAAAGGAGGAAGCAGGTTTAACATGACCCATAAAACATGTTTGATTGAGAAAAAATGCATTAAACTGGCATGAACTCCATTTAAGAACTCTTTTAACTGTCGTGTAAAACCGACAAGGGTTGTGTTAGTTGTAACACAATCAGAAATTCTGAAGAAAAATTAAGTTATCTTAAATTTTATTAAGTAATATAATCACAGAGTTGAAGTAGACTACCACGTTTTTGTACTCTGTAGCACAATGATCCCAGTCTCTAAAATGACATTTTACCCACATGGAAGAGATGCCCCAGTGGTTTCCAGCACTCATTCCAGCTGAGTCAAACAGGGACAGTCCAATGAGAGAGATGGTGGGAGCGATGGTGAGAGGTCCAATGAAGCGCATGAAGAGGCCGATGAGGCCGGAGAACCCAATAAACACCTGGAAGAGCGAGCCCACCATGATGGACCCCTGGAGCTGGAGACAGACACAAAAAGAAAGATGATGAAATGTTAAAATTATCATAAAAGGTATTTGCCAGAACTGAGCACAGTAATCTTGTTACAAGCAAATTACACCAAGTCTGTCTGACTACCACATCTAACATGATAATGATAAGGTCAGGTTGCTAGGCTGCTTTCAAAATGAAGACCACATTTCTTTGAAGTGTTGTGATTCCCATTATTACTGGCCACAACAGCATGGTGTGTGTGTGTCATCGTGGCAAAATGTGGTCCTGGAGACACCAACCACAGAGGTGGTTTTGAGTACTTTGTCTGTGGACTGGGGATTTTTGTCACTGTACGATGGAAACACAATCGTGCTACGGTCACGAAACTTTAAAAGTTTGTGTAGAAACGTCTACCGAGTACTCACAGGTTGGAGTGTCAACATGTGTTTGTAGGTCTGCAGAGGAAGACCAATCATATTTGATTTTGCCTAGCAATCATTGCACAAAACAATAAAAGATTTTGCATGGAGAAATAGTGTTCCCAATTCTTTTTTGCTGTCAGTAATCAGTTTTATTTTTGTGTTTACCCCATCCACTTGCATACAATCTAAAGTCCATTGTAAAATTGTAGCGACAATAAAGTGTGCCCTTTTCATTTATTTACATTCATAAGTTACAGTAATGTCTCAAAATTAACATATATTGGATGGGATGGAAGTGCAATGCCACTCTTATTATTGTGGACCTTCTATGAGCTACACACAACCACTGAGAAAAGTCTATTTCTTATGATTTCAGACTGTTTCTCATCAATTACCACAACCACAACCGCAGCTACAACGACAACAGTAGCTCTGCATAGCTGATGTTATCACACACTGGAGCAAAGATTCAAGCTAGCATGAAATGTGCATATACAATATTACCGTTACACAGCAATCAAACACTGTCTACTTTTGTTCAGATGAAAGATCTGTTAAAAATTTGTGTTTGTCTCAGCACAGGCACTGACAATGACACAAATGCTAATTTGATACACTAATTTGATTTCCAAGGGACAGTATTTTCATAGGACAACACTGACATAGGAAAGTTGACATCCTCCCCACAGGAAAAAAAACTTGAACCCAGTCTGCACTCCACCAGTGTCTCGCATCTCCTTGATGAAGCCTCCAATAGGCTATTTAAGATGCTACTAATGTCAAACTGGCAGACAAGCCAGCTGGGAGAGGGGGGCCAACACGTCAGTTGCAAATGTTGCACTAGTTACTTTCATCAAATACACAATCATAGAGAGACATTATATTGCTAGTCATAACAAACAACAAATCATGATTACAACAGCCGCTGGAAGTCAGCTAACAATAAAACATAACAATGGGTCACAATAACCTGCTTGAACAGATGACCTATGGGTACAGGAGGGCAGTCTCAGTGGTTACCTACTCTGTACTTTCCTGTTGGCACTGACTACTTATGAGCCCTCCATTTTTAAGCAGCCGAACTACCTTGGACCTCAAACTAGCCAGTCAGCTCAGTCTTTAAAATGCCAACAGGAAAACTAGTATGAACTAGAAAACTAGTAGAGTATGTTTTCAAATCAAATAATATATGATTGCTTGGCAATGTAGAAATGTTTTCTACTGTAGATGCAAGTAATATTAGCTACCAATAGCAGCGAGCTAACAAGGCTAAGATGTTTCCTGTAACAATGCCGCCAGGAAAAGACCCAGTGGGGACACAGACACACAGAGGAAGGCAGATTCAGTGGAGCTGTCTTTAATAAAAGATAAGCTTACAGGCAGATGGGTGTATGAAAGTGAGTAGCTGAGCTGGCAGGCAAATAAGCAGGAAAAGGTAACTTGAAAAAAATCTGGTGACAGGCACAATGGAAAAACACTAGGAGACTAGAATGGCACTCAGTAGAGCATGGACCTCCACCAATGCCAAACAATCTTACACAACTTTCCGGTCCTGATTATTTGGATCTGCACCAAATTCACCAGAGTCATAGATCTCCACACCATAAATATGTCTGATTTTCTACATCAAGATCCAAACATTATTTCCTGAGAAATAGAAATTATTATTATAGTGTTGAAAATGCCTGATCTTGCAATGGTGGAAAGTGATTAAGACAATATGACCTGCTGACAAACAAAAAAAAAAAAAAAACATACGTGAAAACATAACCTCCTTGGCAGAGGTAACAAAATCAGGTAGCAGGTAGCAGATGCACAAGAAAATGCTAGGGAACAGAACAGATGAACTGACAGAGTGGAAGAAAGACGGGGACTAAATACACAAGGCAAGGGTGATTGAGAACAGGCGAAACTAATTGGGGCAGGGCAGGGAATCACAAAGGCAGGAAAGACACAAGGGCGGGAAATAAAACAACCAATAGACACACATGTCAAGTAATTTAAAATTAAACAGTAAATAATAACTCAGAGTCTGGATATGAAGTCACACAGAGGTGCAGATCTTGACAGGTTCCAGTCCACACAAAGCAGGTGCTGTTTTGTAGTTGAGCAGACCTGTGTGTTTTATCTTAAAGTAGCAATACTACATGGTTTTGTTGTTTTTTTTGTTTGGCTTGTTTTGTATTTTTGTTGTTGTGGTTGTTGTTTTGGCCACTTGGAGGCAGAAATCAACAACTAGTTGAGTCATATTTGCTCTGCTTAGGTCTTTGGCAATTCCTGAGAAATACATTATAAACAACTGTGTAGTTCTGAAATACTTCACAATGCTAAACAGCTAGTTGTTGACTTTGTATGTCTGCAGTTGTGGTGCTGGGCAGGTAGCATACAGTTGTTTTTTCACTGAAAATAACTGTCTGGAAACAAGGTTAAGACATATGACATTGAACCAAAACATCAAATTGCTACAGTAAAACCATAACAATAAGCATAAATACAATAAAACTCTCTGTAGAGAGAGGGTGGATTAGGATTAGGAACAACCAGAAATGGGAATTTTCTAGTCAGATTTTCAACTGGCTTTAAAACTGGTGTATGGCCCTTTAAATGTGACCAAAAAAAGTATATATATATATATATATATATATATATATATATATATATACACACACACACACACACACACACATACATAAAATGATTTGGCTGTTAACCAAAGTTTTGTGGGTTATGCTTTACATTGTGGTTAGAAAGATCAGATGGTTTACATACTGCTCTCATTCGACTCTGCCACACATCTGTGAATTCTGTGGAGGTGGTGTTGACTAGGCTTGCATTCTGGGTCCAAGCAGGGCATGTCCACTCTGGCATGGACAGCATTGCCATTGAGGGGGCTAACAATGTGAATGTGCCACCTTGAAGGATGGGCAGCCTGGAAATAAAGATGGTAAAGATACATCAGGAGGCAATTAACAGAAGAGAGCCAGACAGACATGACACCAGGATGGGAGTTTTTAAACAGGTCATACATGATCAGATATCATATATTGGGAAAGATAGTTTGGGGTGACTGGTAAAATTAGGCTGACTGCCATTTGTAATTATCTAAAAAGCAAGGCCTATTTCTTTCAAATGCACATGAATGAATGGTTAATTTAAATCACGTGAAGGTAGAGATTGACTCTAATTAGACAAACTGCGAGACCACAAGAGGTTAAGTAAGTTAAAATCATCTGCCACATAATAAGCCCCGTTATACTAGTCACTTCACTTTCAGCAATTCACATCACACTGTAGACAGTGCAACATGCACAGCCGTCTCTCACAGCCAGTCATAACAGTCAGAAGACAAAGGATTTTTGTAGAAAACATGGAAAACTCAGGGGAATAGTAAAGACATAGCTAGAAAATATCTTTTGATGGGCGTTTACAATGTTTTCATCCTAAGGGACACAAATAATTAGCGTTGTTTTTCTTTTAGTTTACCCAGAACAGAGTATCATTAAACACACATTGTTTTCCTTAGAGCTAACCTCCAGGTATTTGGAGAGAGACAAGAAAGCATCAGCGGTGCTAAACCAGGGGAATGTGGATTTAGCAAGAACTAGATTCCAAACATAATAAGATGGAAATTCTTTCACTAATCCTACTGTGACACCAATATTCAGCCAGGCTGAGTCTGCACAAGCTTAGTACAAATTCAGAGCTCCAAAACATGGTTTCAGTTTGTAGTTCTTCAAAACAAAATCAGCCATTACATCATACTGATTCTCCTATGTGTATGTAACTACTAACAAGGGGTAATACTGTGTGAGATGGGTGATGCTCATTTCTGTTTTGACATTTCACACAAAACTTTCTCGCATCATATTGTTTTGTATCACATCCTATCGTATCATACGTTCTACTGTATGTCATACTGGATGTGCAGTAGAAAAACTAGATGGATAGAAAGATACTTTATTTATCCCCTAGGGGAAATTCATGTGTCTATTAGCTCATTGTTAATAATAATAATAATAATAATAATAATAATAATAATAATAACAGTTGATAATAAATAAACAATAATAATTAGATTAGTCCATATCCTTCAGCTGTGGTGTTGTATAACCAAATAATGCTAACTATCTTGAGATTATAGTATCAAGGTAGGGTAAAGTAATAAACACTGTTGAAGCCATCGTGGCTCCATCATGGCTCAAATACCTTAACATCTGAAAGCATCTTTATGTTAAAGTTCAGCTATTTGAAATTTTTACTCTCTGATAATCCCTTAAATAGAGGCTGCTCCCACTAACACAGTGAAATATTCTATTGTTCATGGTGAGGGCTGGATACTGACTTTGGCAGGCCTCTCAGTTCAAAAGAGATTAAGAAGGAAATCCTAGAGGTTGTTCTGTTCAGCTTGTTTAATTAGAAGGAGCAGCATTCTTAATTCCACTTTAATGCACCCTGCTGTACTTCTGTGTTAAAGCACGAACCAACACAACATGACAAATCTTATCCAGTGAATTAATGTAAATTAGGCTTAGATGGAGGAATCACTGACTACAACTATCTCTAATTAAACAAAACATTTATCACCCCAGCATCCTACAAATATCATCCTGCTCATTAACAATTTCTTTTTCTTTTTTACCTGATGCCAAAAGTAACTTGCAACAGAGTGCAAATGCCAGAGACGAAGAAGATTGTACTGATGAGGTGGCTTTGTGTGAGGCCGTCATGTTGCAGACACAACCCCTGAGACAAGATTAACGGGATGGCGATGATACCTCCAAATGCAGTCAAACAGTGCTGAGAGAGCAAAAACAGGAAGAATATCGAGAGATACATTTATTTTACGGTTGATGTACATGTGGAAAAGATAGCATGACATTTTATGTGCTTTGGGGAAATAATCAGCAAGAAGGTAATTCAATCACCTTAACACAAATTACATTTTGGTACAACATTGAATATCACTGTGAAAGTGCAGTGAGTGTAAAGCCTGTGCAATACATGTATACTTAATGAACCATGATAGATGCTGTACAAATGGTAAGATGATGTAAAGGAGAAAAATAAATTGTTTTTATGTGTAAATATAACTCAGTCAGGAGTGATCACAGGTGCTAAACACATAAAACAAACTCTGACTGCCGTCTCAACTGTATCTGAAGCAAATTTCACAATCAGGCCTACATGAATTAAACAAACGCTAACCAACCGTGAAGGAAGCATCAAACCAAGGCTCTCATGTGACACTGTGGTTATATTTGCATTGTTAAATAACATCAGAGACTCTGCTACATAGGCTCTTTATCAGGAAATGAGTGGAGACTCTGTCAAAACCCCTTTGCTGACGCACCTGGATGCCTAGAATGATGCACAGGTACCAAGGAGGAACATCTGTTACACAATACGCAAGCTTGTTGTTGTCTCCATCCGTGAGGGAGTTCAGTTCTCCTCCATTTTTTTTGTCAGGTAGATCACAGAAGCGTCCTTCAAGCTTCAGTGAATCAGACAGAAAGGCAGACAGATGTCAAATAAAGATACATGTGAAATGAAGGGATGCTGCAGGTCTCCGTTTGGCATTGTGGCAATCTGTAATTTCGTAATATGGGTCAAACGTCAAAACAGAAAACAACAACAGAATGCCTAACAAACACTCATTCATCCTAGACAGCTTTGAGATGCCGATACACTTTGCTGTCTGAACAGTTCATTGTGAGGGAATGTGGTGAACTGCCTGTTAGCTCACGAGCTTCTAGCAGCCTTAAAGTAAATGATTTTCACAAGACATTAATTTTCTTTTACCGCATCCAAGACATTACAGGGTAGTTTGAACAAAAAGCCACAGTCGGATATGTAACTCATTTTCAACAGTAGTGTTACAGGTTCAAAGCAAGAATTCTTTCCTAAAACAGTTATTGATTATAAGTGATTTCTTTCTATTTATTTTATGAAAGTCCAGACAATGTCTCATCTTTTTGGATATACTTTGGATTGAATCCACACAAAAAACAAAGTTTCTGCCTCTGTTTCCCTTTCTAAACAGCGTGATTTTAATCACAGAGGAGCTGGAATGTAAACAAGTAAATTCATATGCATCCATGACGATACTTTGCTAGATATGCTACATGGTGTCAATTATTAACTGACCACAACATCTAGTTTCTGCTGTGGTACTTAAAGTCGAGTCACGATGCATGTATTATACAGTTCGGTGATCAGAGGAGAGATTAATCAACAAGTTAATACTTTTACATACAATCCAGATATGTTAACATTCACATAATTTAAAAATAAATCACTGGATTTTTATATTATTATTTACAGGTAAGAATGCTGGAATGTGATATTTAACTAATGTATTCTACATTTTACAATGTATGGAAACTCTTGTAGAAAATGAAATAAAAATTTATACTCACTGCAAATGCATAGTTATCAAGGCCATTACTTTCCTTTTCTGGAGCCATGTCAGCTTCAGCCTATAGGCTCAGGTGGTGGACTTCTGAGCCCGAAAACAAACCAGAAAAGTGAAAAAACATCAGTCAAAGGGGAGGGGTCATGGGAGAGGGAGTCTGATAGAGAAGGGGGTGGGGGGGTGGATGGGGGGCAGTATGGTAGGAAGGAGCAGAATTGAAACAAGAGATTGCTGTGCTTGTTACCCAGCAGCTCATGTGAACCCAATTACATCAGTAACAGCAGCTGACCATCCAGCATCTGGCAGGCAGGAGATATCCCTTCAGACAACTCTTTTCTCTCTTTCTCCGTCTCTCTCAAACACACACACCTTTTTCAGAGCCTGAAAAAGCATTATAACAGAGATATGAGTTACTGAGATTGGTCTACAGGTTAGCTGAGGGAGCAGATTCTTCAAGGCAATACTTACTGTTTGCTCTGGCCTGTTGTTTCAGCCACTGTTGAGTCAGATTCAGAGGTAGTGAACAGATAAAAGTCTCCAGGGCATAGCTCAGTTATGTCTTGCCCTTTCCAGCCTACTTTCCCTCTAATTTTAACACCAAATGTTTGTTTTGTGAGGGCAAGCTTTCATAACTATCACATGTTCCCAGTCTATCACGTGATGCAAAGCTGTTATTGATGATGGTTAAATGTTCGGTAAATGTTAACTTCATTTCCTAATTTACCGTACAGCTCTACTTTCCCTAAAATGATATTAGATTAAATTAGATTATTTGTCTAAGGATCTTGATAGCAGGCCACATCTACTTAATTAAGGGGACCCAAACGGCATTCCTACTGCTGCAAAGGAAGTTTGGTCACACACTGTTGGCATCCGTATCTGGGTGCATTTTCACATCCATTTCACATCATCCATCTCTCCATGTCCCAAAGTCAAGATCCAGGTCCCAAACTGTCAGCTGCATGACACCAGGAGCAAGAAAAAACAAGCAACATGGGGGCTTTCAAGAGCAAAACTGATCAAAAGCAACACTTAAACAGCTTCCCACATACAGATATGTCGATTTTAATGCCCATCTCACGTAATGTTTGAAAACCAACACTGGAGTTTCTTTAGCTATTACTCCTGCAGTTTATCAGATGCTTTACTACAATACAACATGCACACATTACACCCCACCTCTTTTCAGCCTCTGGAGTTACAAGAAATGAAACTCATTATCATGTGGTACACATCTCATGATGCATCTCATTATTTTCCAGTTGTTGCCAGTCCTTGTACAGCACACAATATTTCAATTGTATAACAAGAAGGGAGTCTGTGGTAGCTCTGTGAGGCCGAGCTAAATGCTAACTTCAACATGCTAACATGCTCACAATGTCAATGTTACCACGCTAATGCTAAGCAGGTGTAACGTTTATGGTATTCACCATCTTAGTTTAGCAGTTTAGCATGCTAACATTCGCTAATTAGCACTAAATGCAAATGTATTTAGTTGTAAATCGAAGCATCGGACGAATTCATACATTGAACTGCCGATGGCGCCAGATGGAAAGTGAAGGGATTACCAAAGTTGTTACAACTCATCCTGTAGTAGCACTTGGCGTCACTCTTACGGGTGCAGTTCTTTTACTTGTCTGTATGTCTTCTAGCACGGTGAAAACTATAAAGAAAATAAACACTAATGTAAGCAGTTCATATAAAATAAACCCTTAACTTTTACAGTGTAATACTGTACATGCACACATTCACTCACATTAACTTAAAAATGCCAAAATACATATAAATGAAAAGCATTTAAGTGCTGGCTAAAACAGCTCATTTAACCCATAATGAATACTTCAAGGGTGCTCAACTTAGCACATTTAACTTTCCTCTTAGCATAAAATAACGTCATATAACATCACCAATACCACTTGCAGTTTTATAACTTATTTACACAGAGCATAACGTTGGTTAACGTTGGCATAACGTCGGTTGAGCAAAGCGAGGTGCTTTGCTCAACCGAGGGAAACGTCTTGGATTTGGCTAGCCTCGTGTACACAATTAGCACTGCTAATCTGATGAGAAACTCCTCTACAGAATCAAACTGCACCGCGGCACGCTGAGCATAAACAAACACATACACAGAACAGTGTCCATAAGCGCTACATTGAGCATAAATGATACTATATAATTGACTGAGCTGCATTACATACCATTTTCGCTCACACGGAGACACAGGTGAGGAGAGCGAGAACAAGCTAGGGGACTTCAGACATTTTTTTAACACAGGTTACGGGGCGGCAACCCGGCCTCACTGCTTCAACCCGATTACATGAATGAAATAATTGAACTCAGTGACAGCACTAGTGGCCCCTTACACATCCTGAAGGCAACATAAATGTCTGTACAATTTCATGGTGGTCAATTTAACAGCTGTTAAGATACTACACTCAAAACCACAAATGATTACCTCGTGGCAGTGACAGAGGTAAAGTCAGGGCATCACCAAAGGACCATGGTGTCTGTAAATAATTTTGTGGCAACCTATCAAATAGTTATCGAGACACACCAAAATAGACCAAGGTGGTGGACTAACAAAGCAACTAAACCAACCAACATTGCCATCCCTTGAGCTAAGCTGCTGGCAACTAGTAAATAAATGTGCATATGGGATCATCATGCAGTTAGAAATTACTATACTATGCTATACTATACTATGATGATACTATTTAGAAAACTTCTGTCTTGATTTTTTTGGACTGTTCAGACAGGGGGAATAAGAGCTTGAAAACAAATGCACATAAATAGAACAGTTAAAGGAAACTGAGCTCACACGAGACTTGCAAAGCAAAGAGAGAAGCACAGCTGAGAAATCATGAGGTTATCTGTACTGTGTGCATGTGACTGTGTGCAGTATATAAAGGTCCATCATGTATCAGTTGACGGCCTAGGATTGTAGCCAGTATTATTTGAGATTATTTATGAAAGCTGAATTAGGCCAGCGTATTACAAATGCTATGTATGTATATTTTAGTGTTAGCATTTTTTTTTAAATGTATTTTACCTTCACAATGAGTAGTTTCAGTAATATACAGTTCAACCACTCATTGTTGTCATCTACTCATTAAAGCTGCTTAATCAAAGTTCTGACTACCCTAACATGACTCATCTTTATGAATGTGTGTCCAATCACCAAAGCAAAGCCAATTATGTGAAGAAAAAAGTATGATCTGCCTTGTTGATCATGTCATTCACATCAGGCTCTGTGTCAGACACTAATTCAGACGCGCATGATCACATCAAGTCACAGAGACTGTGTACCTCGCAGTCTGCAACCAACAGAATGGACGGGGAAACCTTTACAGATTAACATGTTACACATGTAGAAATTAAGAGGCAAAAATTAATATTGATTTCATTTAAAGGCCTATTAAAGACAAATGTGAACAGAAGCTGCAAGTGCAAGAAAAACTTAATTTTCTCCTCTGCAAAATGTGCTTTCATTACCAGTATCTAAGAATAACATAGAAATCTTTGAAATCCAGGGTGAAACATTTTGAATTGGAATATTACAATACACACATAGACCAATATTTTGGTAATGATGCAATTTCAATGTAACAAGATACTTTTATGTCCCATTTTTACATGTATTATGTTACATTAATACAACAAACTAACTTGTTTTGTTTCAATAAGAATTATTTTTGTCAGAACAGAGTACAGTATATGATGTTGTCATAACAAGAACTGTGTCTCAGGGTAAATGATTAGGTTTATCTAGGCAATAAAAATGTGTAAAATAATATGTTATCCCTGAAAAGTAGTTGAACGGCGCACAAAAACAATGAAGTCATTATCCTCACTGTAGCATGCTGGGAAGTCCTGAGGAGATGCAAACTAGGAGACTGTAATAACATGTGATGTGATAAAAACTGCCTAAGTCAAGCTGTTTCTCCTGATCCAGTATCTCGCTGCATCCCGTGACCTTGCTGATTCTACAAAGAGGGGAGCTTTGAGTTCATTCAAATAATGTTTAACCTTTGTTTAACCCACACACATCAATGGCGCAGAACAACATTTTTGTTCATAAAATTTATTCTTCCATGACCATTCATTAAGTATTGTTGTCATTAATTTACTGCAAGCTTCCCTTCGAATTAAATATATTTTTTGTTCCCTTTGTTTGAGTCCTCTCATGGTTTCACACTCTCCATGCTAGATTACCTACGGACCACAAGAGACTCAAGTGTGTCACATGTTGCAGAGAAAATCTGTTGTTTTATTTACATAAATCTTAAATCATTACACCACTGCATCTATAGCTACTGCAGCATTAAAGCTCAGTGTACACAAAAGGTTAACACTGCATTTGGACAAGAATCTAACATCTGTCAGTAAAGTTATTTAGATGTGCAACTTATAATTTTACGCATATGTATATGTGACAATGATGTAGGTGCACCATGTCATTCTTCACATGGTCTGCTCACTCTGCATGAGGAGCACTTGTATGATGATTTTCTGTGGCTCTGCAGGAGTCGTACTGTAACAGAAAGCCTGCTTTTCAAACTGGGAGGGAAAATCAACTGAATGAACCACTAGATGGAGACATACTGAACGCACGAGACATTATCTCCTGCACGCCACAGGGAGTCGCTAACAGCCTGTGTTCCCAGTGTCTGAAAGGTGAACTGAAGTGTTAGAGGGTATACTGAGGCCAACGTAATAAAGATTAGACTTCCAATAAATCAGGTGATAAGAAATAGGAGCAACAATTTGAATATGTTCCATAGTTGAATGTTGTCTCTGCTGTTGATCAAGCCACAAAACCACAGAGATTGTGTTTAGGACTGGCCTTGCAAACGCAAGAATTTGTTAGTAAAGTATGTGCGTGTGCATGTGTGTGCGCGTGCGTGTGTGTGTGTGTGTGTGTGTGTGTGTGTGTGTGGAGAGCGATAAGGGCAGATAATTATATCAAGAGCATAAGTTTATATATTTACTATGAGCACACCTTAAATTAGCAGTTCATTACTGAGAAAAAAGATACTGATGGGAATAGATGTT